TAGGATATTTGGCATTTCCATATCTGAAGAGAATTTCAAATTTGTGGATTACATTTCCATTTGAATTAATAGAGTCTCTTCAACCAATGCAACTACCTCATTAAATACTTTTGCGCTGAATGCCAGGAACCATGCAGGTTGCTGGGTATAAACATACAAAGAAAGATAAAATAAGGTAAAACCTGAGCCTAAATGTGGTCTTTGCTTCAGAGTAACAGAGTGAGGCCTCTTACTTGAACTCAGGTTCAAAAATATAGTTATTACACCAAAAGCAATTAGTTTTCATTACATATTGGTACTTTAAATTTTGTAGAATATGTACTCAAGAGAAACCACAGCTGAAACAGGACATTTGATGACTAAAGCCATAAAACAAACATAATTGCTAAGTCCGTTGCTCTCACGGCAGGAAGAATGCAGGACTCTTATCCATGCGGCTGAATCCGTGGAAAGAAAGCTACGTGAGAACTGTGCCGCACAGGGCTGGGAAGTGCTCCCCATGGGTTCAAATTCAAGTTCCACCTCAACAGGACCCGGCCTCTGCTCGGCTGTCTTTCTGCAAAATGGCTATGATGTTTTCTCACTCTGTAAGGAAGTATGAACCTCAATTTATGAACGTTGAATCTTTCAGAGCAACAGTAATTCAGAAGACGAAATTACAGAAGTAGAGACACATTAACATCACGTAATGATGCCAGCCCAGATGACGGGAACCTCAGGTGACTTGCCTGCTTCCAGGTTTTGTGATAGTAGAACTCCGTGAGTTCATGCAAAGTCTAAGTTCGTCATGTTTCAAGTATAGGTTGCATATTTAGTTACATATTGATACTTCCATTTTCCATCAGCCCAACTAGACTTATTAGCAAGCATCAGAAAGCAATGAAAATAGGCTCCGCTAAGACTCATTCCCAAACTACAAATTGTTTTTCAAAGACTAGGTAAAATTTTTGGTGTGAAGTAAATTGGATTATTCAATGTCAAGAAAAGAGCCTGATGATGCATTTCTTATTTATAGTAGAAAGAAGCAGAGGCAGCTCTCAGTAACCATTAAAATAACTAAACAGAAGCCCCTGATTCCAAGATGTACCAATTACCTACATCTATGATTCCTAAGGCATCAGATGGAACTATAGTTCAAAGGATTTTCCCTGTATTTTTAAACAAGTATGCATATATGCAGGACATTCATACAACATATCAGACAGCAGTGTTTAAATTATCCCATAAATGTTTAGGGTTTTACAATACATATGTATAAAGTATTTATTTACAGATAGAAAATATCACTATTACTGCTTTACCCTTATTTATGTTCCCCAAGAGCTGGCCAACTACAAACTTTTAAAAGGAATTTGGCTTAAAAGATTTTGTGTGTTTGGCACTGACTAAGGGGGTTAATCATTTCTAAGTTCACTTTTTTTCTCTGCAGTTTAAAATATCCTCAGGAACTTCAAAACAGAAACCTGTTCCCTTATAGATTCTTCTTCCTCTTGGGTACTGCATAAATTAATTTGTCACTGGAGTGTTGACCATAGTGTTCAATTGATAGCACCAATCATTTCTATTTTATTTTTTTAGGAAAAGAAAAAAACATAGCAATGATGTATTGAGGTTTTTCTGTTTTGATGGGAGAAATGAAAAAATATGCTGGGAAATAGTGACATAACTCCCCCAAAATGTTAGAAAAATATACAAAGCCATGAAATTAAAAAATGGGAAAACTGCTATTGAATTTGGAAACCAAATTCATTGAAAAATTAGATGAATAACACTTCTACCCTAATGAAAGGGATGTTACAAATTCTACTTCAATAGATATTACTTCAAAAAATGAAAGCACTTTACTCCTTTCTAGATAATCTTTTTTAAGAAAGAATACATACAATGAAGGTAACGTAAGATTTCAGTTAAAAGTCCTAAATTCTAATTACTACCTGGTTTGTGGAATATTATAAACTAATTATTTATCCACATCTTTTATTCACTGTTCCTCTTTGAAACATTCTATTTTTCTGCTGTTAGCATCTGCTTTGAGCCTGATAAATGAGGGATGAAGGACATCTGCCTAAACTAGGCAATTCACCATGTTCATGTTCCTTCTCCAAAGTAAAGCTCCTGCCCTTTGTGATCAAATACTAGTGAAAAAAGGCAGATGAGGAAAAGTTGTGCCACTTTTTCTTCTTATCATGACTCTTCCATCAAATCTAATCTGAACGGATGCATCGAAATCTAGCTTTTATAAAATTTACCACTGATAAGTCTTAATGAATACACCCTTCAAGGAAGACAAAAAAAATACCCAAGAAGATCAATTTAGAGATATTATGAACATAATATGGAAACTTTAAGAATTTAGGTGTTTTTCTCACAAATTTGTGATGTAAATATATGATTCACACATATATTTTACAATATTGAGATCACACGGTTCACACTACTTTATATCCTTTGGCCTTGACACTGGCTATTCCCTCCACCTACAACTCTCCCCCACATCCCCACTATGGAGATGGCTAATGGCCTCATTCCTTCAAGTCTCTGCTTCAATATTGCCTTTACAATGAGGCCTAATTTGGATTACCCCATTTAAAATTGCAATTCACCCCCCATTTCAGAATTCTTAATGCCCTTGTTCTGTTCAATTTTTCTTTTGGTGGTAGCACTTATTATTTTCAAATATGCTATATAATTCATTTATTAATTAAGCTTGTTATTTATTGTCTGTATCTTCACCCCTCTCCCAACTACAATATAAGTTGAGGGTGTATAAATTCTATTTTTTCCACTGATGATACTGCCTGGCACATAGTAGGTACTTAATAAATATTTGTTGCATTAAATAATTAAGTACCAATTCTCTTTACATTAGATGGTAACTTCCATGTCTCTAAAAATTATTTCAAGACTTTAAGATTGGGTATGCCAGAGTTTATTTAATCATTCCCAAACAGCAAATGTTTAAAGTGTTTCCAGTATTTGCTATTATAAATAATTCTTTTGTAAACATGCTTGCACACATGTATACGTACATTTTATTCTCTTCTTAGGATTTATCACTAGAACTAGAATTCCTGAAAGGCAATTATGCACATTTTTAGAGTTCTTGGTACATATCACAAACTCACTTCCAAAGGTTTTACCAATTTACACTGCCATTAGCAATATAAGTGTCTCTAACTACATCTTCACCAGTACTAAATATGACCGTTACAATATCATCTTTAAACATTTGTTGTGACAACTTTGGCATTTTAAAGTTTTACCTTGGTATTTGCAGATTTTGAAGAAATTTTCTTTGTAAATCACAGATCTCCATGTGGAGTAAAAGTAGAGAAAAAAATCAGAAATCCCAATGGGTTGTCCTTTTCAAATCAAACAATATAAAATAGGTGATGGTGGAGTAGAGACATAGATTATCCCACAGGCATTCAGCAGATGAGACTGGGACACAGTGCTCACTTTGGTTTAAACAAGTACATGTCAAGTTTTTTCTTAGGAGACTAAACATAATTAGTGGTAATATTAGCATTTGGTCTTTAACTCAGATATGCCTTTTATATCAGTTAAAGTTCTTCCCAAATATTGACCCATTTATTCTGGCAACACTGCAAAAATAAGAATTAAGTTATTCAAGTGCTTGGTTAACCTCATGCTAAAAGCAGTTCTTCTGTACTCTAATTAATCAGTACTGTTTCCAATCTTGTTCACCTGCCTGTAATCCCAGTCCCTCTGACTCTAATCCTACTCCACCTGGCACTGAACTGACTACAGTTGCAGCCTGATCCCTTCAGTCTTTAAGGGGGCTCAAATTGGAAACCAAGAAATACATTTCTGAAAATTTAGTCATAAAACTTACACTCTTCCACTTGTGAGACAAATCATGAGAAAATATATGAGGCTCAAATTGGCAGAGAGCAATCAATTTCTTCCTTTTTCTGTAAAATACTGAACAAAATACACTTATGATAACATTTTTGTAAATCTCCTCTTTATAGGGAAAGAAAAAAATGACCCTTCATACTGTGTTGGGCACTTTATAAACGTTATTTCAACTTCACAATATGATGAGGGAGATCCTACTTTTATGTCCATTTTATAGACATGGAAATTGAGGCTTAATGAGATTAAGGAATTCTTCAAGGTCACAGGGCCAGCACTGAAGCACAGCCTCAAAGCCTGTGATGTTTTCAATGCACTACACTGATTATAGATATTACTCATGGAGGAGCAGATTCCACACCAGGGGTTAGTAACCAAAGCCTATGTGTAAATGATTCTGAAGGGCTTTGGCAGAGCTGTGCCATGAGAAATATGTTTCTTATGCTCACCCACCTCTTGCTCCTTGGGCGTCTAGTATTTTATTAACTGCTAAGGTGTTAACTGACCACCAAAATGTGACCTAACGTGGTTTAATTTGGGACCTATAGAAGATATTTCAGAATGAAAAATTAAGACTCAAATGAATGACACTAGGATGGTGGAGTGCAGGTAACAGGAACATGGTTTTGGAGGGGTCACCACCACCTTTTTCTCAGGTTTTCCCTATGGAGTGGGGCAGGTGTGAGGGCTGGAGTGGCAGAAAGAGGCAAAAGCTGGTGAGACCCAGTGGAAGGGAGAACACCTGTCTGTCCCCTTTATGTGTTCTCTCTGTTCTAGAAGCCCATTGTCTGGGAAAGCTTTTCTCCAGGGTGCTCTAGAACTGATTTCCAACAGTAAGCACCAAATTGGCTACACTGGATGTTCAAGTACTGAAGTACCTTCCTACTAGCTAAAAGTCCCCTCTACCTAAATCCCCACTCTTCCCCCCAGGTGTCTGCATCACACACAGGAGGCAGCCCCATACCTGACACAGATCCTCATCATCAGTGGCCATGTTGCAGGGCTTGTCACGTATCTTGGCTATCATTCCTGGGGCCCTCATCCAACGTGTGATGAGAGCTTCTAGGCTTGCTGGGTAGCTTACAGGGGTCTGGGAGAGAGGAAGAACCCAGGGGAGACCCTCACCCAATGCAATAAGGAGCCACTACTGTAACTCCCTGCGTTGTGAGGGAATGACCAAATAAAGGAGACCTCAGGATTCTATTATCAAGTTTAAAAAGGGACACAGCAGAACAAAATCCACACTCAGAACCTGTTAGACCACATCTCGGGAAGGGAGCCGCTCCCAGGTCAGGATCAAGAGCACTGAAATGCCGCCTTGAGAACCAGCCCAGCTGCTTCCTCCTATGGACAAGAATGCGCTTCTCAGGCAGGTCGGCTTCACTGAACAGAAACATGCTGCAGCCAGGAACCTGCAGGACCAGACTCTCAGCAAGGCCTGTGTCAGTGGGAAATTTAACAAAACTAAATCAAAATCAGGCCCAATAGAAGAAAAAAAAAGCATATAATTTTTTTGTTGTGGTAAAATATACGTAACATAAAACGTATCATTTTAACCATTGCTAAGTGTACAGTGCAGTGGCATTAAGTTGACACTGTCATGTAACTATCACCACTAAAGCACATAGTTTATACAAATTTTAAAAATTAAAGTTTGAGCATAATTAATTTTCCCTTGTGTAAGGAAATGAAACAAATTGTTGGGCTCCCCAAGATGTTTGGAATCTTGCCAAGAATGACCTAGCCTGTTTAATGTAAACATTAATGGCACACGTGCACCCAGGTGTTCCTTACAAGGTTATTGTCTGATATAACTGCACATATTCACCCAGGCGTTCCTTGGTTATTTGACCTAAGTACAAAGGATGAACGGCTCTGATGCACAGGACCCCAGGACAACATTTGCCTCTGCCCCAGAGGCCACTAGAGCTGCTGGAGGCCACCAGGCTGCTAATGCTGCTGCTGCTGCAGAGGCTGGGGACTGAGCTCGTGTTGGAATAAAGCATGTCAACTTTGCCAGTAACTCCCAGGACCTTTTCCAGTTACCTAGCTCGCAACCTGTATATGATGGGTCTGTAACCCAGTCTGCATGGCATGTGAGGGGTCTGTGACCCAGCCCAAGGATGGGTTTGAAGGGTCTGTGACCCATTCTGTACAACAGGTTTGAAGGGTCTGTGAGCCCTAGCCTGACACCTTGAAATTACTCTTTTAATAAAAGTCTGCCTTTATACAAGGAGGCTTGAATTTCTAACCCATTACAAATATAATTTCACACACAAATTTATCACTAGGATTAATGAAATTGATGCCTCCATTTTTTGAACAATTCTATAAAAGCCCCAACTTGTATATATTGCTAGGAGATACAAAAAGTTGAGCGCAAGGGTCAGGAACCTTACAGGTTCAACCTTACACGTCCAATACAAGTATGATAACCCCCAGCTACGTGTGCTATTAAATTTTAATTCTAATTAGTTAAAATTAAATTAAAATATTTTTCAGTTGCACTGGCCAAATTACAAGTGCTCAGCAATCACATATGGCTGGCAGTCTCCACACTGGACAGCACAGATATAGAACCTTTCCACCATCACAGAAAGTGCTACTGGACAGCTCTGTGCCAGGTGTTCTGAAAGAAATCCTAATATTTAAACGTAAGTGGAGGCTACTGTAAATGACAGAACATTTTTTCATCCTCCTCTGCCATTCTTTGTATCTGGATTCTCTGTATCTGACTTTATCTTCTCAAGGCAGATTACAGAACTGCTTTTCTGTTTTTTTCTAGATTATTGCTCCAGAGGACCTCTGCTTACAGCTCTGGCATCTTTTCAAGGGGCTATTTACAGTCCCCTGTAACAGAGGATAGAGATAGCACACATTTTTCTGTCTGATACATAAAATGTAGGTGCTTAGGGAGTTTGGCACTCTAGCTGGTACAGCAGGCATGTGGGACTTCTTATTTGGAGGTACACCAGGGAACATCAGAGCTGAGACAGGTCTCTGGACACAAGAAACATACAAAACCCCAGCTGCAATTTCTGGGTTTGTCTGTTCGTTTCTAATGTGGGCTGCCATGTTGATCGAAGGTGTGAAATGTGCAGGACACTAAAAAAAGATTTCAGGGTCGGCCCATGGCTCACTCAGGAGAGTGTGGTGCCGATAACACCAAGGCCACGGGTTCAGATCCCTGTATAGGGATGGCTGGTTAGCTCACTGGGTGAGCATGGTGGACAACACCAAAAAAAAAAAAAAAAAAAAAAGGAAATCTAATGTGGGCTGCCATGTTGATCGAAGGTGTGAAATGTGCAGGACACTAAAAAAAGATTTCAGGGTCGGCCCATGGCTCACTCAGGAGAGTGTGGTGCCGATAACACCAAGGCCACGGGTTCAGATCCCTGTATAGGGATGGCTGGTTAGCTCACTGGGTGAGCATGGTGGACAACACCAAAAAAAAAAAAAAAAAAGATTTCATACCACTGGGGTGTAAAAAGTTGGAAAATGCTCTTTCTCTGAGTCAGGTAGGGACTCCAGTACTGCCCGCCCAAGATGTTGTAGACACTCTGAGGCCACAAAAATCTCCTAAATTTATTTTAGCCCTAAGTGATGTCTGCTTCTTTAACACTTCTTTAAGATACTGAAAAGCCACAGCCGGTGGGAAGAGGGGGGAGTTGCCAGGGACACAGTCACCTGAGGTTTAGGCATTGCAAAATAATGTTTAGGCATTTAGGTAAATTCTCCCCTCAAATCTGGAATGGCAGGGGGAGGGAAGAGGCAAGAGAAATGGGAAAACGTTTAGGAGAGTTAAGATGTTAAGACATCTGAACATCTGAAACTCTCCAAATTGTTCTGGTCACGGTATCTGCTCCAACCCTAACTTAGAGTGACTCACACTTTGGCCACTGCAGCAGCCTAAAGCACAAACTGTGATGCCTCAAAGCCCCTCCTACTAAATGCTCTAACATGTTTTCTGGCTCTGCCCAGCTCTTTACCTATCCAGGACAGCACCACTCTTTGGAGCTTCAGTTCTGGAGCACTGCATACATTTGTACAGCTCACAATGCCTGTAAAGGACGAATCTTGGAGCCTGGTTCCTAAAGAGCAAAGCATCTAGAGACGGAGGCAGTAGCAACCCCCAGCTGTCAGCAATTGAAGGCTTGAGGGCATGCAGTACATTTTGGTTTAGTGGAAACAAAACATGCTTTTGAGGCAAGAAGATATAGAACTGAATACTATTTCTGCTCCTTAATAGCTATTTGGCATCTTGAACAATTTACATGATATCTCTGAGTCTCTACTTCTCTATCTACAAAATGGAAATAAAAGAAAGTTTCCTCTAAAGCACCAACTCCTTATCCAGAAATTTGTCAATGTCAATCAAAAGAAAAAAATAAGCTCTTATCCTTCCTTTCCTGTATGAACAGTATTTCAGGGTAGCCAGATAACCCAAACTGATGAGGGAAGAAATTTTTAATAGAAAATTTTAATTAAAAAAATCCAACTAATAAATGTGGAAGTAATGACAGAATTAGAAAATCACCACTTCTCAGCTCCTAAAAATATAATTGATTTAGGCAAAGAGTATCAATAGATGAAACCCCCATGAAAAGCCAGTTAGGAGCCTTACATTGGCAGACAAAGGCCATTCATATTGGCATCACCAGAAGTGACATCCCAGACGTGGCGGCCTCCTGATGTGATGCAGTGTGAAGCACACAGTCTATCTTCGAATTCTTGCCAGAAGAGTTGAACTTCAAAAAATCAAGCCCTTTAGAGCTAACAGAGTTTACAGGAAATGTGAGGGATAAAGACACAAATCAGGTGACACCACAAGGAAACCAAAAGATCCCGAATATGGAAATTCTATAGGACAGCTGAGCTGGTTTCTGCAACAAGTAAAGGCAGGCAAAATTGGGGGGCCAGGGGGACTGGGGGCCTGACTAGATCAAAAAAGTCTTAGAGATATAACCATCAGTGTGATGTGTAAACCATGTTAGATGTAGATTCAAACAAGCCCACGATAGAAAGATGTTTGCCTGGATTATACACTGGGTGTTCGATGGTATCAAAGAATCATCATTTTGTTGGGTGTGATAATGGCATTGTGGTTATGTAAGAAAATATCCATATTGCTTAGAGATGTGTATTAAGTGTATAGCAGTGAAATCTTTGGAATTTACTTTAAAATTATTTAATAAAACCAAGAGGAAAAAGAGCAAGATAAAAGGAGAGAAAAATAATGAGAAAAGAGAAGAGAAAAAAGAAACTACCCCATAGAATGGATAGAGAAATTAAGAGTCGGTAAACTAAGAAAATAATCTAACGTAATGCTTCATTCACAGGAGTTAATAAATACTTCCTTTCCCTTTTGCAAGCCAACACTACTACATTCTGAATTCTGAAAATTCTTGAATACCTTCCTTGTTCCCACTTAACAGAAATCCCCATATATTTCAACAACACTCCGCTTCCATTACTTCTTCTACATAAATTAGTGGTGGAAGAAGTCAAACTTAATCCTTATTCTCTAACAAAGCAAGAAAATGAAATATTTCATTATTCTTATTACAGTGAAGAGACAACCAAGGCCAAAATGATATTTAGTAATAGAGACAAGTAAAATACACTCTTCCTACTCAAGGAAATAACATTTGTGTTTCTAGTGATTGAAACCCCAAGGCCAAAGGCAGGTCAGTATTTGCAATTTTGCTGAAAAACAAATTTAGACAGACTGCATTTCAAAGAAATGTCTCATATTTAGTTAGAAGATTTCTTACTTGCAAACTATTTTATTTTTGATAAAAACTGTGTATTCAAAAGAGCTCATTTCAATTTTATCATTTGATTTTCTCAATTAATCTATATAAAAATCATCCCTGTAATTTTAAATGTCTGTATCAGGCAAATCAAATAGGCCTCTTGAAGGAGATAAAAATTCTGAATACTTCAAGCTCAAGACTGTGGGAGCTAAGTCTCATCAGTTTTCAGGCAAGTGGCATTATTATCTAAAGCAGGTCCTGAGCACAGCTGCTGGAAAGCCTCTGTTAACTGAAGCTCTCTAGGCTGTTTGTTCACTTCCCACTAAATGGAGTCAACGGTTTTCAAAGCAGGGACGTGTGGCATTCTCAGTGAGACCCTAGAAAGCAGCACTCCTAAACAATCCCTGCTTCTTATTCGTGCTCCCCCTCCACCGGAATTCGTTCCTCCCTCTCTTATGTTCACATAATAGTTTATAGCTTTTATTTATTTTTATTTATACATCAAATCTAATCTACTTGTATTGAATAGTTAATTGGGGACTATTGTTTCCCCTTCTGGGTGTCATACTCCCTTGAAGGCAGTGCCTTACAGTTACTTAATAAACATTTGTTAAATTGAATGAACTGACTCCAGTTCCTAAGCACTTTGCAGATGGTGGATACCAAACCTGGAATATCAGTG